GCGGCTTTTTTTTTAACGGTGTGTCAGAAAGAAAGACAACACGGACGATTTCCGTATTGTAACAGTTAGGTTCTTCGATATCTTACACATACTCAGGGGACCCGGGTTTGATTTTCATAGGTTGAGAATTTTCATCGGGTAGCTCAGGTTTTCTTCTAGGATTTTGCATAACCCTTTCAGCCCCGGTTAGTCCTGTTTCGCAGGGTTGGACGCGTCTCCCAAATGATCTAAATTGTGTCAATTGAGGAGTAAAATAGCTACATAAAAAAGTAACATCACATCCCCCCCCACCCCGGAAAAAAAACTAAACCCAGTAACAGCTACATAACTAAAACTGAAGAAACAAGAGAAGAAGATCACAGCAAAAAGGCCATACATATATCACCCATACAACTACCCAACACATACAGAGAGAGAGAGAGAGAGAGAGAGAGAGAGAGAGAGAGAGAGAGAGAGAGAGAGAGAGAGAGAGAGAGAGGGGGGGGGGTCAGTTTGGGGCCAGACGTCAGTCAGTTTGTTTACCTGTTTGTCTGTGAATCTTTGTGTCTATCTATCAAACCCCCAACCGAAAGATCTGTCACCAACGTTTGGAATAACATAACATGCATGACGCACATTGTAACCTCTGCTGCACACTGCCTTGTAAGAACTTCTTGACACCAAATCTATTTATCATTATTAGTGATTTATACATATTTTTTTCAATTGTCCTAGGACTCCATTCAAGAATGAAAAATAGTTCGTGTTGTGAATCATTACCAGTTACGTAATCATGGAAATGGCACATTGGTACGAAACCAGGCTCTCCGAAAAACCTAAAAGCTAAAATCTCAAAAACGATCCATGCTATATCTGGATATCTGAAAAAGTTACGAGTACATACATGCAATTGTAATCAGCACACAAACCGTAACAAACTGAAACTAGCGTTTCTCGCAATTGTAAAAAAAATTTAAAAATTCGATTACTTTTTGATGACTTAAGGGATATTACAGTATGACAAAACCAGTAAAAAATAACCAGCTAAAAAATTAATGTTTATTCTATGTAATTTTTTACTTTTTCAAATAGAAGTAAAAGCTAGCCTCATAAATTATCTTTGATACAGCATGGTGCAGTTGCCCTCCAGATTTCATGGCTTTACCTTGAATGCTTTTTTGTTTGTTTGTTTGCATGAAATGAACAAGAAAACGAACAAAATCGTCATGGAATTGATTGTATTGGCTTACAATGATTGCCACTTTATGGGGCCATCTCTTTGAAATAATGACTTTGTTGACAGTACTTTTATTCAATTTAGCACATATTTTTTAGGAGGGTTTCTCAGTTAGTTTGGTTTTAGTAAGAGTTTTACGGCACTTGCAACACAATAAGGCCATATAATTTTTGTTTGTTTTAGTAGAGGTTTTACGGCGCTCGCAACTGCATACGGTCATATGAGCGCCAGAAGATTAGACTGTTACAAGAGAGTAACAAACATGAAATAGAAAGAGGGGAGATAAGGACGATAGATGTTTGATAGGAAAGAAGGAGCAAACCACACCAGAGCATCCGCCAACCAGCCACAAGGCCATAAAGGTGCCGAAGATTAGAAGTGTTACAAGAGAGTGACAAACACAAAAAAGAAGGAGGGGAGATACGGAAGATAGATTTTTCTACAGGAAAAAAGGAGCAAACCACATCAGAGAACCCGCCAACCACCCACAGGGTTTCTCAAATTCCTCAAAACGTTGCCTGACCTCAAACTGATCCCAAAAAGCTACAGTAGTCTGTGGCCGTAAGAGAATTAAGGCAGATTCGCTACATGTACAAGGTTTAGTTTAGTTTTAGTAGAGGTTTTACGGCACTCGCAACTGCATAAGGTCATATGAGCGCCAGAAGATTAGAGGAGTTACAAGAGAGTAACAAACATAAAAAAGAAGAACGGGAGATAAGGACGATAGATGTTTGATAGGAAAGAAGGAGCAAACCACACCAGAGCACCCGCCAACCACCCATGTACAAGGCTACCTCCTCCAGTGCCAAGAGGCTACGCTATAGAGAGATCTATGGGCCATGTTCTATTAGGTTCTTCCTTGTTAGGATACAGCAATCGATAGAAAAGCACTGCGAACGCTCATCTGCGATCTGATCTATGTATCTCTCTTCTCAAAGGCTCTTTTTTTCTTTGTCTCTCTCTCCCAGCCTCTTAAATAACCTAGCAATGAAATGGGCGTTACATAGAATTATATATATATATATATATATATATATATATATATATATATATATATATATATAGAGAGAGAGAGAGAGAGAGAGAGAGACAGAGACAGACAGACAGACAGACAAGAAGAGAGAGATAGAGTGATAGAAAGAAGAGAGATAGAGAGACAGACAGAAAAAGAGAGACAGACAGAAAAGAGAGAGACACACACACAGAGAGAGAGAGAGAGAGAGAGAGTGAGAGAGAGAGAGAGAGAGAGAGAGAGAGAGAGAGAGAGAGAGAGAGAGAGACAGACCAGAAGAGAGAGATAGAGTGATAGAAAGAAGAGAGATAGAGAGACAGACAGAAAAAGAGAGACAGACAGAAAAGAGAGAGACACACACACAGAGAGAGAGAGAGAGAGAGAGAGAGAGAGAGAGAGAGAGAGAGAGAGAGAGAGAGAGAGAGAGAGAGAGAGAGAGAGAGAGAGAGAGAATTAGTTTTAATAAGGTTTTACGGTGCTCGCTGCACAGGTCATATGAGCGCCAAGGGGTAGATGTCAACAGAGAAGTCCAAACGGGGAATCAGGCTCTGCTTACCTCTCTAGCTTACAGCACAATGTCTGTTTCGACTATCAAGGCAACCCAGAAATAGCAGGTCACTAGAGAGTGACAAACATACAAAAGAAGTAGAGGATAAAACGACGATAGTAAAGATGAAGAAAAAAAAAGCAGCAGTTCCCCCATGTTTTTCCCGCACAGTATGAGCATGACATTGATAAATCAGCCCATTTACAATTCTACTGTGCATAAGAAATTGATAATATCTCTCCTTTGGGAATGGCCTCAAGAAAACTTCAGTCAGTAGCACTGCCTTGGTGGGGGGAGATATATAAATCAGATAGATAGATAGGTAGATAGATAAATAGAGATAGATTGACAGACAGAAAAGAAGAGAGAGATAGAGAGAGTGATAGAGAGAGACAGACAGAAAAAGACAGAAAAAAAAAATATATGAGAGAGAGAGAGAGCATTAAAAAAGCCTAAACAATTCTTGTACAACAACACACATACAAAAGTAATTAACTTTTGATAAAACACATTGAGTAAAAAGTACTCACAAATCAAAAAACAAAATTATGATTCGAATGTACGTTTATGAGAAATTTGATTTATTTTTTATGTATCTTCATACAGATATTGATCTAAACATATTAATAGTTTCGTATAAATAATACATGAAGTTTGTTTGTACAAAGATATCACATTTTGCCAACAATGTGTTGATTTTTAAAATTTATATTTGTTCTTTTGGCAACAAGTAAATGCAGCCTTGGACCAAAATAACCAGCAATGAAATAATAGATTTAGACACAAAATGCTACAATTACTAGCAATAAACCGCCCACTATGTACTTTATATATTAAAAAAATACAACAGCAGCAGTATACCAGATCTTTGGACTTTTTTGGCCGCGTATTTGACTTAATTTAAGTTTAATAGAAGAAAAAAAAGAAGAAGTAATATCAGTACTACTTTTAAAAAGTTTCAGGCAGATCTCTATCCAGATCATTATATATTATTACCATGCCATATAAAATTGAATAACAAACACAAAGGCTTTGGACCCCACTCCAAACAAACTTTGCCTTTTTTTTCTATTAATATACAATTCACAAAGCTCCTTGGATTAACAATTTTAAAAAAACACACCAAGAAACTCTTCCAGAAAGGAAAAGAAAAGATATAAATATTTATAGTATGGAACTGAAGCCTAGGAATATCCTTCAAGCTCCCTAGTTCAGTTTTAGTAAGAGTTTTACAGCACTTGCAACACAAATTAATATTGACTGCAGTGTAAGGCTCTATCATATGTCACTTTTCCAAATGGCACTTGGCTGAGTCTTGCACTAAGTAGTCGTTATGAGTGCGGCAGATTAGAGGTGGTACCACTAGAGAATAAAACAGAAAGAAAAGAAGGAGGAGAGATTAGAGTGATAGGAAAAAAGGAGCAAACCACACCAGAGCACCTGCCAAACATCCACTTAAGTTCTTTTCTGACCAACAACTACACATAGCCATATGTCAGCGAGGCTCTCTAATACTGTTTGCAGGAACATTGCACAGGATAAGAGTTACAATGTGAAAAGGCTTAAAACCTAACCGAATTCCAAAGGCCAAATTGCAAATAGGAAGTGTCACTAAGACCACGAAAGAGTTCTAAAAACTTACAAGAGTTTGAGACAAAAAGAAGCATATTGACAATTTAGCAGTCACTGAGTACTAATGAAAAGCAAGACAGAAAAACAGACAGAAACAACAGCACGAAGAGTGAAAGTTAAGAAATACAACCTACAAGTTGTACCCTCAAACTAGCAGAACTTACTGGACTGTAAAAAAAATAAAGAACTTGATGCTATATATAAAGGGGCGCATATAAGTATAGTCCCACAAAGCAACAAAATGCCTGGACTTAAAGGTATCTAGAAAAGTGGCACCGTCATAAGAAGTCATAAAGATGAAAGTTAAAAGAACTTGACAAAAATCTACATAATCTATGTCTGTTTTAACAGTCAAGTAATAATCTTTTTCTTACGTCAAGGGGAAAAGGATGATGAAGACCACAGGGAACAGAGACGTAAATCAAATTCAAGCAAAGTTTAAGTAGAAAACTGTAGGCCTACTCTTACCACTGGAAATATCTAAAGCAAAATTTTGGACAGAACAGCAGCATTGTTTTATCGACCATGGGACAGATGCAAGCTACAGGGAAGTTATGTGAACTTTCAGTCAGACAGAACAAATAGTATGAACTGGAATGAAAACTTGGATGTTAAATTATAATCAAGCTCAACATGTTCAGATGGAGAATAGCAAAGGACGAAATTTGAGCTCTTTAGGCACTGGGTACGGTGATAATCAGCTAATAAAGGTGAACCAGTTTGAATCATGTTCTTAATCATGAGACTACCAATGAGGAAGTTTGCTTTTTAGCACTGTTAATAGCAACTGCAAATACAACAAGTTATCAATCTAACGAAGACAAAAGATGAAAAACAACTCCTGTAAGATATTTTAGAAGGGTGTCTTTAACCAAAAAAAAATCCAAACAGAAGATCAACTCCTTATCTCTAGCAAGCCACTCTCAGCTGCTCACGGTCAGAACCACTGTGTCGATGAACCACTAGTAGCGGCTCAGGCTCATTCTTTTACCACAACTTTGACGTCAAAATAATTTTCACCTATGGTGAAAAAGAGGTGTCATTCTCATTTACTGGGTGTTTTTTCTTTAGATGACGAACTATTAAAATAGGTTCATTTGTTTGGATTTATTGACCAATTTTTAGTGAGGTATATATCATTTTAAGATTTCGTATCAAAAGAGGTCCCGCCATAGTGGGTTTATCGGAAATTACAAGTTAAAAAGTGCGGTACCGAACCTAGCAAAATAAGAACATACCTTCTATTCCAATACAAATCAGACAGTACAACAGACACTGACACTGCTTTTTGTATTCAGGTCAGTTTTGTTCCAACCCACTCCCATGGCGGCTTATGGAGAGTATGAACCTCCCGGAGGTCCTTATCCCTGACTGGTGTCCCCAAGTGTACGGGAGGTACACCATCACCGTTACTTCCTCCCCAGCTGTAAGGACTGAAAACCGGTATGCTAAGAATGGTTCCATAAAATGGCATTTGGTAAGCAGAAGTCTCAATATACAGTCTAGCACGCACATACCGAAACATGCACGAGGTGAACAGATTTTTAGGCTGAACTTATTCTTATACACGTGTTTCATTTTGTATTTAAAAAATGTACATTGCGAAATCTTGGACTTAACAAAAAGATTTCTGAATCCCCTTGATTTTGCCATGTGTGTGTTTGATGGTAACTTGAATGTTTAAAAACTGTGAACTTAGGTTCTGTCTATCAATGAGATATTTGCTCTGACTAGAGATCGAGTAAACAAGGACTTCTCTCCAACTTTTTACGTTGTTTGTATGTGACCTAGCAAAGCCAAATGCTGCATTACCAAGCCCACATACTCATGACCAGCATTCCTACACCAACAAAAGATAACAGAAGTAAAGCCAAATCCTTGAGGAGGGACATGTACTACAAACAAAAATGTAGACATAAATCAAGTGACATAAATGCGTGTTGAAAAGGAATTAAGGCACCATTCACTTCACATTCAGAATACATACAACAGAAACTCACTTTTTTATGAAACAACACTTACAATACTTACATATTCTCATTCGCCACAAATCAAGACACAAACTTCACCTCTTTTATTAACCCGTAGCCATTTTGCTTTAACTTACTGATTTCACATATTGACGGTAACAGTTGACAACCATGCAATGACAATCTAAAATTAAGCCAAGTTCTATTTTTGTCTCTCAAGATCTTATGGAAACCATTGCAAATCATGTCTAAATACAGGGCAAGTTTGCAAAAAGTAAAAATGACCAAATACCATGTAGGCGCAAAACATGTAGGCCATCTGTTTTCAGTTGCTGCTTAACACCCGCACACTGTTTTTCAAGAAATAGTAACTTTGGACTTATACGGTATGCTACTGTTACAATCAACACTCAACATAAAAGTGCTGAAACCTCAAAAAAAGCACATGGAGAACAGAACATACAAAAGATAAGTACGCATAGTCATTTCTATACACATTCATGTGGTCAAGGCAAAACAATATAGAGTACAGGGAGAGCAAGAGATCTTTGGACGGAGAGTTCAAAATGTCATCACTGCAGACAGGGGGCAGAAATAACAACTGTCTTGAGTAAGTACTGACAAGCTAGCGACATCGTCATTAAAATAGCGAGTACAATGCATTCCTGTTCAGACTTAAAAGTCACAGGTAAGGCAGATATGATTCACTTTAACAGTGATACGTAACCATTACAAATCAGACAATGTGGAATATTTGAGAGAAAAATAGCTGCACAAAATTTGGTAACGGACAAAATAATGGCCTATACAGAGATGCAAAAGCTAATGTCAGATGATACTTACTTTTCTACCTACACCAAAATGAGGTCACAACACGTCAACCTAGGGTCTTCTTCCACTTCTTTTCATAGAAAAGAGATATATTAGTTTTACTTTCACTGTCTTTTGCTCTTGTCATTTTTTTTACAAAGGTATAGGCACCAAGCCCCAACCTCAAGCAGTCAATTTACTAATAAAGCACATTAGCTTTAAAAGAGTACCATTAATAAGATATCAATAATGACTTCAATAAATACATAACACTTTAGAAACATTAAGAACTCATTTATAAACCAAAGTTTCACAAGCTGGTTTAAAGACACTTGAAGTTTATAAAATCTTTGCGATGAAAATTTGTCAATAGAGCAATTGTTATATAACCTAATATCATTTCTGTGCCATTAATAATAACCTTAACGAATACTTATCATTAATGAAACATTTAATAGCTGATACATAAAGTCTAAGTCAAAGGATGATCCTCAGAATCACACACACACATGTTGTCTAGCCCCGGACTGTTTCCTCATCCTCTGGCACCATGTAATGCTCCAGTTCCTTCTGTCTCTGCATCAGTGTCTGAGGAAGGGAGAGAATACAAGGGAAAGAAATTAGCATACAAACAAGTTCCTTATCTTTGCACTGGGGATTATTTGGCAAGGAAGTCAGACCCCCCCCCCCCCCCTCCCCATTTCTTCACTGCATACCAAGATGTGTTGATTGCTGCATAATGTTTCACTGAATGAGATGGTATGCATTATATAGGCAGTACCCTTTTGTACCTGTTAAATCAAAGGACATGACTTAGACTTTAAAAAAAGCCCATTTTTCTAAATCTGGCAGCCCAAATAGGGAATGTAGTTAGATCTGCAGAGCTCCATTTTACTGACTTACTCAATATATGACATTTTTCCTCTCGAAAAAAGTAGTATCCATACAATTTCATCAAAAAGAGTTTATATACTACCATCGACATTCAAAAAGTAAAAGGGGTACCGGTAAAGCAAAGAAAATAGAAATCAAGGATATGGGACAGGCTGAATTAAGTGCTTTTGGTTTCAGTAAGAGTGTTATAGCACCTGAACACCAATAGGTCAGGTAATTGCTGAAGATTAGAGATGTTGAAGAGGAGAAACAAACATGGACAAAGAAAAGGAGGAGAGATAAGTACGATAGATGCTTAATGGGAAAGAAGAAGCTAACCATACCAAGGCACCTGCCAACCATCCCTGAGTTAAGTGCCAAAATCTATTTAACATTAAAAAGCAGTAAGAAAGAACCTGTTTAAGAGAAGACAGTTGTTGCAGGATCCGGTCTTGTCGAGCTGTGGGGTGGTCGGTCACTCTGCTGGGGTTTAGTATGGGATCCTGGGACGCCTGCAGAGTACAAGATTAAGATAAAATGTGAGGCCGCGTGGTGGAATCAGGCTCTCGTCAAAATAATGAAAGTGAAGAAACTAACATTTTTCCGCAGGTTTGTGAATTTTTATCAAATTTTTGTTTTTTGGCTCAACACCTTTCATGCCATTTAAAAAACTCATTTCTGTCTGGATTTTTCTGAAAAACGTTGATTAAAAGCACAAAAAATGTAAATTTTCAGTTACCACGGACTCTTAAGCTAAGGAAATAACTAATCTTTGGCCGCCATTTTCTAACCAATTTTACCTCTGAAAACAGGTGACCCCCACCTCCTTCATTTGTAAATATCTTGACTTGTATTCAAGATAAATTTATATTTTTTTCATCAAAATAAAGACAAGTGAACAAGCTTTAAGATGATACCAATAACTGTACATGCCCAAAAATTGACGAGAACCTGATTTCACCACGATGCCTCACAAATGAGAATAGATCGGAAACTGATGGTGTACTGTTCTATCTGTAATTGGCAAAAACTGGTCCCATTTTAAAATGTCTTTTTTTTGGGCTCTAAAACCATAACAGCGCCTGATCTACCAGTTTTTAAAAGAATAAGGAACCACCATGCACTATAAATAGTACATAAGTAAGAGGGTTGTCTTTCGCATCTCTTTTCATCATTTAAATCAGACAGGTGTTTGGGTGTTGAAAAATGTTCAAGCAACCGGTTACATGGTCATGGGAAGTAACCTTCCAATTGCCACTCAGTCAAGGCCATTTTTTGCATACACTTACCTCTGGGAGGGGGTAACCATGACTTAAAGCCAGGAATTGCATTAAAGTTTTTTTTTTTTTTAGAGCACACTAGCCTTGTTGGTACCAAAGGTGAGCATCATACCTGTAGGCTAACAAGTTCTTCAGGATATTTCTGAGTCTAGTTGATTTGATAAGTTTTAAAATTTCAGTTCTTGTGTCATGAAGTATGTATACAACTAAATAAACTGAAACGTGGGCCACAGGTAAACAACATTTATCCCCAAAAAACTCCCAAACAAATAAACATTTGTTACAAGTACATATACAAACAAAGATATTCACATATTCACACCACAAGTAAATAATAGCAAAGAACAGACATTCATGGCATATGGAAACCTAATTTGTAAACAAGCAAAGAGAAGTTCATCCAACATGATGTAAACAACAATAACAAAGAAACAAATAAACAACCACACTGAAAGAAAACGGGCTCAAACAAACAAAATATTCATCTCTAAAGTAAACAACATATGTGTTGCGATGTGGTTCAATCAGACGCTCATCAATTTTTGGGCATTTGGAGTTATTGGTATCATCATAAAGCTTGTTCATTTGTCTTGCTTTTGATGGAAAAAAATATCCATCTATCTTGGATAGAACTCAAGATATTTGCGATTGGAGAAAGTGTGGTGGCCTGGTTTCAGTGGTGAAATTATCGAGAAACTGGCCGCTAAAGTTTGGTTACTCCAGTAGCTAAAGAATCTTGCAAAAACTGAAAAATGACATATTTTGTGCCTTTAATCAATGTTTTTCAGTGAAATTCAACTACAAATGTGTATTTATATGGACATAAAAGAGATTAAGCCAAAAAATACAAATTCAATAAATATTTCAAAACTGGCAGAAAAATGCAATTCTCCGATTTCATTATTTTGATGAGCGCCTGATTTCACAACGCTGCCTCACATATATATAAGTGAGCAAATACATACTTTACGACATAGATAAAGTGCATCTCTAAACGAGCTCAGTTTGTTTCTGAAAACAAGACCACTGACCTTGAGGGCAGCTTCTCTCTCCCTGTCCTGGTACACATCCAGCTGCTTGCCTTTGCTGGCGGGATTGTGGGTCTCCATGTAGGCCCGCCGTGCCCGCTCCATGCGAGAGTTCTCCCGTGAGATGGCCATTGGCTCGTCAGCTTTCGATGGGTCAAGAATTTCTGTGGTGCGCATGAATGGAATCAAATCCCCGTCAACAGCGGGTGCAAAGTCGATGTCTCCGTACTTGGTCTCCGTTTGGCTGTTGCGGAGATAGTTGTTGGTGTAGTGGTAAGGGTCTCTGTCCGTGTCATCCCCTCGTATGTTGCTGGTTCGGTGTCGCACTGTGGGTATGAGCGGAGAGCTTCTGCCTGTGGTTTTTGGTGATTTGGACCTATGATTCCTCTCCTTTTCATTCACTAAGGACAGTATGTTGGGAGACGAATCGCGTTGAGCTTCCCCCTGATTGCCTTGATTTCCCCCATATACCTTTCGGACCGGCTTCCTCCCTCTCTCCCCGACAATTTTGGCCCCCTCCGGTGACACGTCTCTGCTTCGTCCAGGACTTTTTGAAAGCGAAGGGATTTTCTCCTTATTCAGTTCTTGGAGATATTGAAGCTGCCGTTCCCTCTTTGCCTTTCTCATCTCCTTCTCTTCTCGTTTCTGTTGGTAGAATGGGTCCCTCTCTGAATTCTTCACCACCTGTTTCTTCCTATTTGAGTTCCATGCTGGCCTTTCATTAAGCTTTACAGGCCTCTTTCTCTCCTCGGGTTCAGCTTCTCTCTGCACAATCTTCCTACCCACTCGTGGGTTGCTCTCGGCGGGTGGCTTTCGCCCACCCTTGTCGTGAACATCACTAGCACTCTTCACATGCACTTTTCTAGAGGGTCCTCCCGGCCTTTCCCTGGCCTTTTCTTTTATGGCTTTCTCCTTCAAGGCTTCCTCCACCTTCATTTTGTACTCAATTTGTACCTCATCAGGCAGACTGTTCAGAATTGCCTGAAGGTCTTTCAGTTCCACTGGAAAAAAAATAAAGTAAAAATGGAGAATAACATTTTAGAACAACAACCCCCCCCCCCCCCAGGAAGAACAGTCACTGAAGAAAAAAAAAAAAAGAAAATAAAAAGGATCATTTTCAAAAATGAAACCGGCACCAGCTGATAAGATAAGGGTGAAGCAAATGAGTTGCCTCAATCAGACTCCAAGAAGGGAAACCCCCAACTTTTTAGGCCATTTCATTAAAAAAGAAAGGTTCTCAGGGAATAACACGATGTTTTAATTTTAGGAATCATTCTAGTATCAGTTTTCAAGAACTAATTAGTATCAGTGTTCAGGAACTGCATGCAAATAGACATAAAAACCCCCAAAAAACTCTAGGTAAAATGAAAGGCTATTCTATGTATGCATGCCGTAAATAGTGGCATCCAATTTTTTAACTGACAAATGTTCCTGTAACTCCCCTCCTATTTAACCTATTTGCAAAAAGTAAATGCTAAACTGAGTAGAAATGAAGGCTTTATGGAACAGTCGAGTCACAGACAACACGGACTGATTCAGGATTCAGTCCTTTGTGGTGAAAGTAAACAAACAAAAGATGCTGTGACCCAGTTTTACAGGCGTGCCAGACAAAAGTTGCCGACAGCATGACAACCAAACAGACATGCCATGTACACAGATTTAACTTGGGAAACTCGTGCCAGTCATGGACTCACATGTCTGTGTGCCAAACTCCCGTCTGGGGGAGTCGGAGTCACTGAAGGGTTTGCTGGGGTTCCTGAAGCGGCTAGGCGTCAGCACGCGATCCTCCACGTACGGCTCTTTGGTGTAAGACTGTCCCATCGCGTGTCTCCTCACAGGGGGGCTGGCATCCCTCCAGGCAGTGGGAGCATCTCCATGGTGATGTGGGGGTGGGGGAGAAGATGAGGAGGCGACAGCGAGGTGGGGTGGAGGATCTCGTGACGAGTCTTGCTGTCCCAGTCCTGGGAGGGAGTTTAGCTCATATTCCTTCCTTCGCGGTGTGGTGGCTGGGGGTAGAGGAATAACAAGCGGTTTGAACAGAAGCAGATCGATATAGTAATGGTCATTTACCGCTAGGAAAAAGCAAGACAGACAGAAATAACAGAAATAAAGAGAAGAAAGTAGGACCTACAAGTGGGTATGCTAGATGGTGAGTGAATGTAGGTGTTTACGTGCTTAGTTTTAGTAAGAGTTTTATGGCACTTGCAAAACAATAAGGTCATAAAATTGCTGAAGATTAGGGGTAACACAAAAAGAACACAAACACAAAAACGGAGGAGGAGAAATAAGATCAATAGATGTGTCATGAGTGTGAAGAATATTAAAAAGTTCAGGAATCCAAAACATGCACTAAAGGACGGGTATTTATATTGTATAAAGAAGACATTCCATAATTCAGTCTATAAGGCGATAGATACAACATACACCCTGTAACTTTCAAAAGAATTCAGCTTTTGGTCACATGTCCAATAGAGCGCATGAAAAAAAAGGAGAAAACATGGGAACAGAATGTTCCGCTACCTCAAAATCCTATGTGACATGTCCAGTGCATGAAGCACAAAGGAGAGAGACTATAAATTGAGAGCTGAAGATTGTCTGTGGGCCAAGTCCGTCAATCAACAAGCAGTGAACCATTGGGTTCAAGTTTTCCTCTATATTTTTGTTATTTATACAAAGCCCTGGTAGCCATTATGGGACAAAGGCAAGAGTGAGAGAATACAGAAGGACTAAAAAGGCTCAAAATTACAACAGTCTTTCTAGGTTTGCATGAATGAATGACAAATTTTAAAGCCAGTTTGTACTCTACATAACTAAATATACAAGGCAGAAAGGATTTCGGGACTGCATTATATGAGCATTCATATATATATGTTCATGAATATAAATTAATAATTGCAACACAAAGATAACCAGTAACACAAAGACAAAACTGTACTGGAAAAAAAGGCCACTAACAAATATTTATAATGAAGATAGGAAATATGACAGCAAAAATAAAGAAAGATCAACGATACATTATCAAAACTGATCAACAGAAAAGGATATAAGAAGCTGGGGGAGAGTGAGGTAAAAGGCAAATACATGATGGAAAAATCCCTCCTCAAAATGTCACCATAAATGGTCATAATACATTTAAATATGACTGAGAGCAGCCTCTGAAATTAGTTCTGTTTTCCACGTCTAATATAAAGAAAAACTTCTAATCTGATAGGCACGCATGACTTCCTAGAAAAAAACAATACATATATGTGTATAAGCATATTGATACAGCATGATATAACACGAGTGGCGTGATGTCATGACAATTTATTTGATCCAAAGACGCAACTGACAGTGCTCACCTTATGTCTTTTCTTCAAACAAACTGACAAGATAGCACAGCACAAGCTGTACAACTATTTCTACAACAAACCAAACAAAGACAAAACAAACACACAGAAACAAATGAGGTACGAAACAAGGAGTGATCTTTAGCAAAGCTGCATAAATAACCACGTCTTGAGAAGCCCTATCATACCTTTGTTACATACTTTTAAAAAGCTTCTGCCCTAATCATCATAAATTCAATATGTTTTGTAATGCAATCTGTATCTTCAATGGTTAACCTGGCAGAAGGCTACACATTTGTCTAAGACAGCCTGTTGTCAAAGAGAAAAGTGACCTTTTTAGATATTGGCGGTCTCACAGTGTCATTATAATGTAAAAAAAACCCCCTCAAATTGTCTTATACTGGTGTCTGTTAGAGCAGGGTTGACTGTATTTTGTTTATAAACTGCCACCTTAGAATTACAAAGTTCTATTCGAGTCACTAAGGTTATGAGGTCAGAAACCAAATGTTTTATCTGCTCTATCAAAACTATAAGATTTTTCGGAGTCGTTATCGACATAACCAAAGAATTGCATTCGAAAAAGCTTGACATGTTGTGAAACTCAAAATCTTTAACGTCAAAACTAGGTACTGAGCAGATAGAACTTCATAATTCTAGGGTAGGGAAATGTGTATCAAGTGGTACGATCGAGTCACAAATGCTCAACTGTGGGAAAGAACAAGCCAAAGGCCAGTAAAGGAAGACATACAGGTGAAGAAATGGAAATGTATTAGGCACACCCTGAGGACACCCCCGACAAGCATCATCAGACAGGCTTTGACATGGAATCCAAAAGGAAAACGCAAGAAAGGAAGACCAAAGATGATATGGAGGCGAGCGGTACCAGCGGAAATGGAAAAGGTGGGGACATCATGAAAACAGCTAGAAAAGGAAGCACCGGACCGGCTTTGCTGGAGAAATGTTGTTGATGGCCTATGCTCCACCGGGAGTTAAAAAGGGCACGAGAGAGAAAGCGAAATATGTGACTGCTCATGCAGAATTTATATCGTGACTTTTTGTTCTCTCTTTGACTCACTACCATTTGCAGTAAATAAAAGTATAATATATATCTAGGGGGTATTATGTGTAAGTTTCAAACTCTTTATTTCAAATAAGAATTGTGCTTTTCAAGCTTCAAAACAATTCAGTCTCTGACCATTTTCCCAACATTCCTCCCTTATAAAGCCATTCTTAAACAAGTATAGTCTCTAATATTACCTCTTGTACATTAATTTTAACTCAAGACAATTTGTTTGGGTGTAAAGGTGACATTAATAATATAAATGAAGTAAGTTTCTGGTCAAATCATGGGATTCAGTGTGTGTTGGTTAAAAAAAAAAAAAAAAGAAACAAAATATTGGATTAAACAGAGGCAAACACAGGCCAATTATTTCAGTCCTCACAAAGAATCTCTTTAGCACCATTTAATGGCCAAATCAGTAACATTCTTCTTTCAAAGGGTGTTGAGAAGTGTAACTGACAACCTTAATTAGTCTCCAACTGGCCAAAAAATATTCTTCTTTCACACTGTCTGTCCATTATTTTTCTCAAACGTTCTTTGCAGCATATTAGCACTTATCCCATTGCCAAAAAACTCAGTATTCCCAAACTAAATGATATTAGAGTATGGCTACAATCAAGACAGTCGTGAACATGTTTTCTTGTTACAAATATATGCTCAAAAAGGTAAAAAACCCAACAAACAACAACTAAAAAAAACCCCACTTCACAACCAGAATTGTCAAACACACACACACAAACTACAAAAACAACCCCAAGCACACCCATATATCTATGTATGTGATCAATAAACCAAATAAATTTGGAATGACAAGACAATAAACAAAACTGGAAGCAAAAAAAAAAAAGAAAAAAAAAAGAATGAAATTTGACTGAGATATTATCACCCAAACATTATGATTCAACTAACGATGAAGTAAGAACCAAACAAAGTTTATCGGGAAATTGAACACAACACAACATGCTGTAATCATGAATCCTGTCTTTTACTTTGATTTTTTTTTCTCTCTAATGCTATATGAAATATTATGTGCTCTTTTGAAGTATGAAAATGGAGACATTGATTGTTAAAATACACAAGAGAAATCAACATCACAAAAATGTGGAAAATTAAGTACAAAAAGCCCAAACCAGCAAACAGCTCTGAAAGTTCAGAAACAACTGAGCAAAGCAATCAAAGATAGCTGAAGGCATAATAAACTGATATTCTTATAACTGAAAAACCACAATGCATGCTGCTGGTGTTCAGTACAAACACGTTAATGGAACTGATAATAGTGTTCTTTTCCATGTTTGTAGTAAAAAATCTGAATACTGAATGAAATCACATATATATGGTCTGATCAGTCCTCACTGTTGACAAAAATTAGCAGCTCTTATGTCAGTTCAAAATCCATTTCAAACGGTAACGTTATTTCCTTAAGCACAATTGAATCGAAAGAGTTGCCAACACTTAGATAGTTAAATTAATGTAACAAATGTGCTAAATAAGTATTAGGTCTAGCAAATCGTACACTTTGAATAGGTTTTCCCTTAGTTTCAATCAATGGAGGAAAGAACAGTGCAACAAAGAAACAACTTTCAAACCATTATATTTTTTTGTGATACTAAAACCATTCAGTTGTCAACAAACAAGGTGGAAAAGGTGATAACAAAAGCAAAAAAGCAACCCCCCTCCCCCTCTCCCGGTGAATGAAGCACTCCAGGGATAAAATATACCTTCTTCCTGTTTGACTGAATTCTTCGAGCCATGAGCAATGGCCCCGGACATGCGAGATGCAGGTTCTACAGACAGGATAAGCAGGTAGGTTTTCCATGTGTCAAGTTATGAGAATTTGTGGTATGTACCAATCTACTCTCTCTCTCTACAATACAGACGATCAATGTCAAGGCACCATGTCATCTTATTACTGATTTTGATCTGTGAATTCTGACCAACATAAATTACACAGTAATTTGAACAATTCAAACACTGCATCCATTGTAAAAGCTTGGTAGGGAAGAGTGGTAACAATGAGAACGACTATGTGTACACTTTTGACAACCTTGTGACTTTTCCTCTGTCAATACAAATGGTAAAGTCAATACAGGTGGTAAAAAGTGAAGGAAACAAATGCCAAAGACAGAAAAGACCAGGAATGGATAAACAAGCTGAAGACATTTGTGCTAACTTAATCCTGGCGGGTCAATTTAAGTGCTATCAACAATTGAAAAGCAGGTTAATGAACAGAATGACAAAGGAAAAAGAGAAAAGAGACCATCAGCTGTAGCCTTCAGTAACTGACAAAGGTTATTAATGATGTTAAAATCTTATTAGACGTTATAGAACACTATCATAATCTAAGATCAAAGTCAGTTCTGAGATTAGATCATTATTAATAATAAGAAAAGACGAAAGGCTGACACAATTTACAAAAATAAATAATTCTATTACTTAGAATAATATTTTATCTTAATACATGTAACAAAAAGTAATGCAATACAGAGCAGCTTAGTGGTAGTTCAAGGACAGTCACCACGACGACCGGGACAACAACAACAACAATGAAAAAAGAACACGACAAGCAGAACTTCAGATCCTTTTCTTCAGGAAACAATGAGACCAAAGACAAAGTTAGATGAGACATACAGTCTTTTAAACTGATATTTGAACCTCAAAGCTTGTGCACTGGAGTGAAGGAGAAGCACACCAAAGAAAAGAAAATGATACAAGAGTAAAGAAGCCAAATGATAGTAATTGTAATGGTACGAGTTTTACACCCCAATCAACAAAATGATACTCCAATCTGAAAAGCAAACATGTAAAACACAAGTCACTCCAACCACCCACTTTGTTGAAAGAAATAAAAGGGGATCACTGAGAACCAAACTAGGAATAGATGGTCACAAACAACAGACAGCAAAGAAATACATGACAGCATTTTCATATGTGCAAAGAGAGACAACATAACAAAGCTGCCCATGGGAAAACAATAGCATACATTGTTAGAACTGTCCTGTGGAGTGAATATACAAAGAGAATTTCAACATCTTGTTCTTCCCCTGTTTAATTTTTCTTTTTTTCTCTCCAAGTCACAGTGCAAATGATTTTGAATTGTACAGTTTATCTCCATTTCAGTATAAATTGCTCTCATCTTCCAAATAGACATACTGTATGATCTATGCTACTTTTAATGATTTCTATCAAACAGTTTCTTCAGACTCCAGGGATACTGATGTGACTACCATTTGATTCTCAATTAATAATTATATAGAAAACAGGATTTTTTTAAAACATTATCTCTTTGAGTAAAAATGTGCTGTACAAAAACATAACTCAATCACTCCACAAGAAAGGAATGGCGATCTGCAATGCCTTCATTCCAAAAAGCATCAAGGGGTAAACGTACAAAAAAAGAAAGGTTGAATCCTTGTGCTAGAGAAAGAGATCGCCCGACAACATGTCATAGAATAAAAAACACTCTTGAGCTCACAGGTATAGTTTTCTTATTGAAATATCATACACAGAATCATTAAATTTGAGAGCCTGACAAAGAATTAAAATTTGGGTCCAGGGAGTATCTATCTAATCGAAAACTACACAACTGACAGCATTTGCAAGCAAAGGCGTCTCTGTTAAAAAGATGAAAATGAATGGCAAAGAAATACCTTCGTAAGTGGCCTTCAAGTGGGAAACATCATGGCCCTTCTCCCGCAGGTGGTGAATTCTCTTCAGGTTCTTCTCCTCCTGAGCCTTCTCCTGTGCCTCATCCATAGCCGTCTTGAGAACTGCAATCTGCTTTTGTCGCAACTCCTGCATGGACAATAAAAAACAATGAAACAGACGTAAGTTAAAAGTGTTTATTTGTAGCACCAAATGACGGAAACACTTGCCCTTTAACCACTTGAAAAAAAACCCCATTCTCCTGGCAGGTCAAAGTTCAACATCCAAGCCGTAAATAAAAGATTTGTTAGAGTTACGAAATCTTGCAGAGAAGCTACACAACAAATTAAATTTTCTATGAAATCATTCACGGAATGAAAATATTAAAAAACAAAAAAATATAAGATACAGAGGACTGATTAGTGAGGAAAGGTGCTCATCCTTCCCACCAAAACACCACGTCTGATCCCTTGCTAATGCAGTCACGGACAGTGGACACTTTAGGCTTTGTTCTCTTGTTGTTGTTTTTCATTTCACATTCTTAGGCCCATGGTGCACTGAATAAGTGAGCGTGAATATATATCTTTTTGAATAAAGATGGAAAACCTAAGGGCAAAATGAATGTGCTGTACACATTAGAAAAAGATGAGAAAGAGCATGTGGGCCTAGGTTGGCTGAAAAGTATTAAATAGTCTTTTAACTCACTTGCGACTGGGCCCTTTCACCAGCCACAAGCGTTGAAGACTGGCGTTTTGGGGGGTATTTCAATAAATCACCACAACTCTCAGAATTACCCTATTGTAATCATTTTTTGACACAGTAAAGTAACATTCAAGCTTAATCTAATACAAAAAACTAAAGTTGTATAAGTCTAATACTTTAATTTGTATGATTTTTTAAAAATTGGCATGAATTTGATTTTCGAAAAATTTCCAGAGACGTGACAAGTAGAATGAAATTCACTGCAACAACAAAAATAAAAGTTCAAAGTGTTCTGGTTTGATTTGTATACATGTGCAAGTGTTTGGTGAAAATATAAAAGCTGGTCTGTGCATTGATTCAGACCCATACACTGAATTACATGAGACAGATGTACGGCACGACGTTGTGATTTCGTTGCGCGAAAAACAACACCGGTACTAGTGCTAGATCTAGCCCTAGAACTACGACTCAGGCCGTGTTCGGGTACATATCCAGGATCCTAACTATTAAACACATCATATTCTGAGACACTAGAACTAGTAAAACGCACAGAAGTATAGAAAACGGCGAAATTATGTGATTCTTGTTCATGCGACTTCTTCGACCGTTACTACGACGCGACTGTCGGATTACTATGAGCTGTATAGAAAAAAACAAAGCGCGAGTTCCGGTCTGTTCAACCCCAGTTGGGGTCACTGTCCTTCACCTTCAATAACTTAAAAACTACCGGCCCCAGAGATACGAAACGAAGTCTAAGTAGCTCAGGCTTGGCCAAACAAGGGTACGAGGCGGGTCTCGCGATCCGTGCGTGATTTGTAGAGCGAAAAAAAAATTCCAAAGTTGGTCACGCAGGGCTTGTGAGACCCGACGCGAGCGTCATGGCGGGGGTCACGCAACTGTTGTGTGACCCGTCTGAAGTGAGTTAATGAATTGGGATGAAACTGCAAGTGGAAATAATAAAAATTATCCCAGAAAACAGCACAATTTGATAGCATCCTGATAAAAAAAAAAATAGTGTGCAGGAAAGAGAATTTAAAAAAGAAGAAAAAAAGGCAAAATAAACTGATAATACATGAAAATCCCAGCAACGACAGGAAAATAGCACTAACCTCTCGCTCCCTGGTCTTCCTCTGTTCCATGTCCAGCTGTCGCTGCATGTTGTCCCTCTCCTGCTGCAGTTTCCTTTCCTCTTCCATATCCTCACGTATCTTTCTCTCTCTCTCCTCTCTCTTCAGTCGATCTTTCTCCTCAATCTGTGCTTTCACCTGAGCCTAAGGACAGTCATTCAAGAAAAATGATAAAGCACCCAAAATACTTGCAAAATGTTATCACCGGAACAAACTGTAAACCCTATAACTTTATTGGAAAATAGACGGAAGAATACATGAGCACATAAACTTACACTGATAAGTTTAATGTTTATACAGTATGACCTTTGGGGATCACCTAATTTAAATATTATGATTTTGGATACATGACCATTCATTTTTATTTTTTTTACATAGCTTGAATATGGTGAAAACCTCCGTCCCACAAGTATGACCTTTTTCAATCAATCCTTAATTTCTATAAAAAGAAGATTCAATTCACAGAATATAGACTAGTAAACTTCCGACATCTAAAACCAATGTCTTAAGTAGTCCAAGGTCTAATGAACGTTCTAGTTAGGAAAATATCCCCCGAAGCTGTTCCATCTTAAAGAATAGAAAAACACTACTTCAAAGAACTCTATTTTCCAAAAACACAACCAGCAGATTGAAATGACTAATAAGTGGGGAAAAAAGTAGGGAAACCAGGACAAACCCATCTCTGGACTTGACAACAAGCCAAGGGAAATAGTTGACTCTCAGCGATAAACAAACGAATCAGCTGAAGAGGTTCCAGAACATTACAACAGGATGTGATGTTTCTCTCACCTGATACTCTAAATAGACCCGCCTCTTCTCCTCTTGCTCTCGCCTTGTCACAGGGTCCACAAAGGCTCCTTGGCCACGTAAGAAGGTAGACCTGAAATGCAAAATAAAAGAGTCTAGGGAAAGTGGTATGCCATACTGATGTCTTTGGTACATCATGGAATAGCACGATTTGCCATGTGTTGATGTACCAGGGAAGGCACCAAAACTCACAACAACTAATGTGTATGAGTAAATGAAGTGAGATCACCATAGAATGGAGTTGAAGACAATGAGTGAAATGGCATTTACTGAATGTGTTCTAAAGAAATTACCGTCAAGAATAGCAACAATGGCCAAAGCATGACAGCACAAATGTTTGCAGGATCAAAGGGAGCCTACTTTAAACCTAATAAAATGTGATAGTTTGGGCTCATCCACTCAAGCAGCTAATCTTAACGAGCCATACGTCTCTTGATGCCATACTTGAATATCACTTCATGCAACAGGTTGTACTGGGTTACAAGTTACCAATGGCAGTTGTTTCCCTGACCCTACAAGCACTCAGACAGTAAGAAACCAGTCTTTAGTTACGGAGAACTATATTGACATGACAACGGTCACACCTACATCTGAAAGTATGACACATGGATGAGGGAAGAGACAGAAGTGGGAGCTTCCCTTTCCATGAGGATACTCGCTTTCACTTTTGATCTGACTGCCAGTTTGAGTTGTAGTTTACCATATAATGCCAGCAAGCCAGAAGCCACACTTTTGATGGATAGATTATGACAATAGATACCCCTAAACCGCCTGCTCCCTCCCTTCACCATTCATAGTCTGGACTTTTCCTATCCCCTTCTGGAAAAAATTTTTTATTTAAATAAGAGAGAAACCAAGTTGGCTAACAAAGACATGGTTTTCTCACTGTTCATCATCATCCTTGCTGGCTCTGAGATCGTGCAGCTCTGAGATTCCCGGAGCACTGCTAGTCCTCTGGGTGTCTGCCATGTGTGCTGGGGCCTGTGGAGAAGGTCCTGCATGCCCTGAGACTTCATTGGGCTTCACCAGCTTCTTATGGTCCGTCGGGTAACGGTCAGCCCACGTGCCATCTTCCTGACGATCTCGTTCTTTCTGAGCAGCTTTGGCCTGCCTCTGTTCTTCTCTCTGCTTCTCTGTGGACAAACATTAATGGACACGAACTCAGAAAAAGAAAAAAAACACTGAAATGTGGCATGTGCAACTTCAAGTGGAATCTATTTCTAAACCAAAGTCTTTCAGGGGATTTAAACCATTTCCTCTTTCACCCAGCTGAAGCAGGCCAGAAACAAACATGAGGGAAAGTGTCTAGACTGGGAGCAAAAAGAAAAAAAAAAAGCTCCAGAGTTGACACCAGCGACATCGCTCCCCTTCCATTCTTTGTCTCACATGACTTCCACAATGATCACCCAGGTTATGATGAATAATAAGTCACTGATGTTTGATACCAGCCTTGTCTTTATTCCTAGAGAGAGAGAGGTACGTCAGAATTGGCATCAGAAGTCAACCATTCACTTTTCCTTTCACTTTCTCTCTCTCTAGCATCTATGTATTCTGATAACTACTATTTCAGGTCAACAAGCAGGGCTAGAAATTACTACCCCTATGGTCCTTGGAACTATTGATCCCTTACAGTTGTAAAAAAGCAACAAAACTCAATTAAGACAAAAGATAATATGAAAATACAAGTAGGCCATTTAAATCATACATTATATTCACTACAGCTTGTCTGGAGAGAGACAAATATAAAAGAAAGTAAATCTATTAAAGGTATTGAAACAAACTCAAACAATCCAGTAAGTTTAAATTCTTAACAAAATTTACCATAAATATTATATTAGTAGCAAATGCAGATGAAACATTAGCAATATTCTGTAAACAAACTATGGAGTTTGGAACCTTGGTACTGTTCTATTAAGCCTAATGTGCACATGGCTCACAGTAAATTCTACAGAGCAAGATTTAGTTTCATCATAGAGGGTGACAAACTATATCACGAAAAGAAAAAAAAAAGACTTAAGAAAAATTAAAACTCATCAAAGAAAACAAAAAAGCAACTTGGTGGTGCAGATTCTTACCTAATTCCTCCAACCATCGTCTTTTCTCCTCTGTCTTTTTGTCGTTGTATCGATTCTCATTCAATGTCCCAGTCTGCAGAAGAAGACAAAGTCAAATTGAGAAAACTGATACCCAGCAGCTCACCTAAAAGCCTCGAACCTAAACTTCCGTAAAGTTTTGTCTGAATCAATTATGGCAATGCCAAAACAGAACTTTCACTCCTGAGTTCTTATTCAATGATGGACTGTACAAAACCAGTCTACAAAAACTCACCAGTAGTTGGCAAATGTGAGCATCTACCATCTACAAAAACAGCCACGAGTGTCTGCTTGCCCATGCAGTAAAAATTACAGCTAATCACAAAACACACTGGTGACCAAGTGAAAATGGGAAATATAGCCTCTGATGGTGACTTTTATAAAAAGTAAAAGAGACTAAAACAATACCCTGAAAAGTGTGAAGAAAACTATTACTCAACAGACTGCGCAGAAACTTTTTGGGGGGGCATTGCAGTGTCAAGCGTAAATAAGTTAACAATTATTTTTTTTTGTCCTTTGTGGGATTTTCCCTTTTACACTAGATTCCTGAAAACGGATTACATGTTAAACTTTGAGGAAAAATGGCTTCTCTCGTAATTCAGCACAACTCACCCCAACGACCAGGGCACTCCTCATGGCTGCGGGCGGGGCATTCACCTCCACCTGAGGCTCTTCTGCCCGACCCAGCGCTGACACATCTTCTCGGTAGCTTGGTCTAGGAACAGCACATAATAAACATAACAACATTCACACTTTAGTTTAATAAGGAGTTTTATGCGCTTGAAACACAATAAGGTCATATAAGTTCCGAAAATCAGAAGTGTTACAAGAGAGTAACAAACACAAGAAAGAAGGAGGAGAGATAAGGACGATAATTGTTTGATAGGAAAGACGGAGCAAACCACACCAGAGCACCAGCCAACCCCTCGCTCACATTCACATTTGAGTCTGTGTGGAAGACAAATATTTCATAAGATCAACGTATACATAGATTTACTGTCCAGACATGGGTATACTTGTGTGATGACTCAGAGCCAACCTATCTCCTGGAAACATTACACAATTACTATGTAAACAACAACACCTCATGATCATAACAGATTACCTAGGTCATTTTCTTTTCAGATTTTAAATTATCTGTAGGGTAAAAATGCCCGTTACTTGTTTCCCATTCTCAGAGTATCAGGGCTAAATGTCATGTCCTGAAAATCCAATTATTGAGACATTTTCACTTTTGCTTGAGTCATAAAATTAACTTAAGGGAACACTGTTTTCTTAAAACAGCAATTAAATGGTTTGAGCAACAGTGTTATGACCATGACGAACAACACTCATGTCCGAGTTCAAGGGAAAGGGAAAAAGAACAAAATCAAAATATATAACTGAACATTTTCCAATAAAGAATACTAGAGAAATACAGGCACTTACTGAGACTTTCGGGGGGAGATATGCTCTGATGTCTTGTGATAGACAAATCGATCAGCCCACTGGTCATGGATTCCGGCTCTGTCTTTTTCTTTTTCTGCCTGCTTTCTCATCCGTTGTTCTTCTCTTTGTTTGTCTGCAGACATGACAAAATTATAGAAATTGGAAAAAATACAACAAACATAACCCTTTGACGAATGCAAATAGTTCATATTGTCTTCAGAACAGACATATGTAGTGAATGTTATCTTATCACAGTAAAATATATTTTTTTGGTGTAACTGAAAAAGGATCTTCAATCACTTCAGCAAAACTGTAAAAAGATTAAAAATAAGCTTACAAACTCCAAAACATGAAAATGGTTATATCCTTGTTTGGACAAAGGCAGATCTCCTTCAAATAGTAATTGCGTAGTAAACCCCAAAAAACCTAGAAACATCACTGAAACATACAACACATAACTTAAAATTAAACATAAACTTCACTCTCTTAGAACTTACCCAGTTCAGCCAGCCATTTTCTCTTCTCAATTTCCTTCTTGGTAAGGTGGGCTGTGTCATCCTGTGGACGAGAAAACGCTATGAGCAACCAAACACAAACAACTTTACTAACACCAAGAAAATGCTAAATTTCAAACACGGCTAAGGTACGTTGGAAATTTAAAGCAAAATACAACATTGTTATCACAAGTTTTTTTATACTTTAAACTAAGACGTTAACTTTGGGATAGAATACATGACCTGCACATGCATTTATAACACCTGAGAAAAAAAGAGTGGAAACCAAACTGATAGCCTCAAAAGAGAACAATTATCTAAAATACCATCGCTCAACAACTTTGTAATATAAACACGTGCAGATTCTTTTCAAGACAAAAAAGGAGAAACAAGATCCAAAATTTCAATGAATGGCTTGAAATTGAGCCATGTCTTCTTTACACGGGCAAAATAAATCAAACTAGAGTTAATAAACACGAGCAACCTAAGAAAACACAGGCACAAATTGCGTGTCAACACGTTCACACACGTCTATACTTTCTACTGTTTTGTCTAGCAAAGAGCATCACATAGCTACTCAAAAATCTTCATGAACCAACAAAAAAAAAGTTTGCGAAGAGAGGGAACAGCGAGTAAAATTCTTTTAAGAGATTCAAGAACGCACACCAGTATTAGTGTCACAGATATATAATAATAACTGAATTGAAAAAACCCCCCCCACTGGAAATGACAACATGATTATTAAAGCTGCACTGGCAGCAAAGTCTGCAGTATCATTATTGATGATATCTGTGATTTCTCATAACGTTACATTCTTTACAAAGGAATTTTTTTGAGTTTGTAATGGAAGAGGAACAGATCTAAGATAAGGAATCCAGAGCTATAATCTCTGGGTATTTTACTTCTAGTACCATTCTGATTTTCTCATTTTTAAGCAAATGACTACAACAATATTCCAAGAGTCAGAGAAATACATTACTTATATTTTAACCAACATTGCATATTTACACTAGAAGCAATCCCTGCCTTTGTTTGTATCCTTAAAAAATATAAGAAGTCACACACTTCATAAAAAGCATCAGGACGAAAATTAAAAAAACAAAGACAAAAGAAAAATTAGAATAATTAGATGAGAGAGAACGGAGGGGCAAAAATTCAAACTTGAGGCGGAACCATTTCTTTAGTATAGTCAATATCACAAGGTTCACAAAAATGTAAGGACCTTTTCATCATGATAAAAAGTAAAAGCAGGCAGTAAATCACTCGACTAATGAAAAACTAAGGTCCTTAAATGAATAATAAAACTAGTTTATTAACATTTCAGAATGTTCAGAAGAGGAGCAAGATCACAGAGGGGCCGAAAATGCTAATCTGTACCAGAGACCACTCCAGTGTGTTGGATATAAAAAGTGAATACAAAGAATGAAAAAAAAAGTATTATAATTTGACCACATCAAGTAAGGTTCATAGAAAAAAAGAGGTTGAAAATCAATGGAGGAAAAAAAAAACCCTGCAGAGAAATGTGTAACCCCCTTCCTTTTATTCTGGTATATAAGGACAGGTCCAAAACAAAGGTTAGAGTAGCAAGTGCAAAACTGCAAATTTTTTCCCCCTGTGTTCCCTCCCTCTCTGGAAAAGGATTAGTGGATGACAGCATGCACTGGAACCACTTTCACCTAAACCGCACAGACAAAACACACTCCTCCAAGACAATGCCTTCTTTGGAAACAACAATTTGCACCTTCAAATTTCAATTTCCCTCAAGTATAAGACTTATTTAACATGTAACCATCTAATCCAAGGTCCAAAAAAATCATAGTTGACTAAATACTGAAGCCATGACAATGTACTAACCTTACTAGCCATTAAAATGAGGACTTTTTTTTCCTTGCAAGCATCAACTATACGTTCATCTCGTTCACTGCTGCCGTTCCAATAAATAATTACCAATTTGACTTCTTCGGACAGACTCAAATTACTTATTCTTACAATAATACAGCATTAGAGAGGAGAAATCTACTCCTGTAAAAATATTTAGTCCGACTGATGACGGAATTGTAATGGTTTTATATTTGCTTCATAACCGTTACTTCTATTAGGCACAATCATTTCACTTCTTAAAATGGACCTACTCACTAACTTACTACAAAAAGAAAGCCAAGATAAAGTAAGTTTGTGATTAATAGCCAGGAATAAGGCTAATAGAAAACACTGACACATCAAGAGCGATATAAATAAGTAATTCAGCAAAATTACAGGTGTTCTTTAAGTATCAGTTTGATAAGCTATTAGCTATTTTACTGTAGCAATGAACAAAGAAGCAGATATCAGTAGGCCAGTGAAAATGAAAATGCTAGCTGGCGCTGTTGGAAAAGGAATTAGTTTTTCATGAGACAGCTAATCATTTATGAGTCAGTTATATCATTCCCTCTGTCTTTTTTGTTCTTTAAAAAAAATTAGTTCTCGGAAAATTGGGCTAAAATCCTATGAGCCTGCCACATGAAGAGGCAGACAAAGTGTTGGAATCATCTTTTATTTGGATTTTTTTAAAAAGAACCGTTAAGGCATGAGGCTCCTGTCCGAGGGTTTGCTGCCATTACAGACCACAAAAAAAATCAAGTATATGAATTTTCATTTGGGGAGAGAATGGCTGATGCCCTCAAGAGGTCTCTTGATAAACAAGTCTGAAGTAAATTCATTTTCACGTAAGCCTCTGAGCCTATGCATTACATTATTATCAGCAAGCTCCCTTTACTACTCAAGAGTTTTATGTTTTGCATTAGAGACACACAAACTTGCAGTGAGAATAAAATTGTTATCTATTCACTAAACCAAAAAGCCAGCATATTATGTACATAATGGTCTAAAAGTTTCCATACATTAAAGGAAATGAACATGTTTTTTAAACTCTAGTTTCAGAATGTATAGCTTAGAAAAACATTTATTTTCCAGGAATCCGCAGATTTAGGTCATGGGTGGCATCCCGCATCTCTAAACAGAAATCAGTGAAAATGTAGTGAAGATGATTTGCTATTGATTTTCAGTGCATAGAAACTTTAAGACCACCATGTAGTGTTACACAGAAAGCTATGAATGTCAGAAGCAGAGACTACTTCAAACAGACACAACGAACCGTCAACACTGTTTGGGCAGCTGGTCTCTCATGTTTTTCTTTCTCTTTCTCCTTTACAGATCCATGGCTGGGTCCGTCTTCAAGGTTGTCAGTTTTCTCAGCGGTCTCACCCTTACTTTCCCTATCCTTTTTCATTTTCTTCTTTTCCGTCTTGCTGTCGGATGCATCTTCCGTGCTGCTTCTCACGTCTATTACCATCTCCGTCTCATTTGTGGTCTCCTGTTTTGGCTTCTTCTTTCTCACAATAACAATTTGTACCTGATTATCCTCTCGATCCATGCCATTTTCAGCGGGGTCCTCTTCTTTCTTTTGTGACCTTCTCTGACTCCTGTCTCTTGAATCTTTCTTTGCACCCACTTTTTCCTTTTCATGTCGAGTTTTCGCTTCTCTGACTCGCTCTGAAGGCTCTTCTTCTTTCGGCTTTTCCCTGCTCTTTCTAGATTTCTTTATTCTTTCTTCTTCATCTTTCTTTTTTTCTTCAGCTTCTTGGATTTCCCTGCGTAGCTTTTCTATCTCATTGGCAAGCTCTTCCTGTGTGAGTGATAAGATTAGAGGAACATACTGAGTGAGCCAGGACATAATCTTATGGGCAGTTTTTAAAGCTTTAGAATACATGTTATTATATGCATGCAGTAATGGTATTACCAACCCTGTCCATGCAGCGTAATAATTGATGAAAATGGCAAACCATATAATATGTCACTAAGACCACAGACAACAAAAAATACCTCCAACTGTGACTTATACAGCAGGGATTTGAATCGTTATAATGCAGTTCTTTTAACTTGGTATGATACCACTTGGAAGATAACACGGACGTTTTTAATTTAAGGGTACACATACAAAAGTTAGAGTAAACAAAAAAGTGACCCAAAAATCTTCAAAGTTGTACAGTTTGCGATTTCCATTCAATATAATAGGTAAAGCTAGGAAGGAAAAAAACTCCCTAAACCGGCAATTTTCGCCTATGAAAAATTTCCCATAACCTTCCAAAAGAAGAGTGATGTCTGAGGTACGCAATTTGTAGGAAACAAGCCGTAGAAGGCGTACAAAGATGCACCATAATGCATGCTTGAGCACCATGCCATTAGTAAAAATAAGACCCACTAAGCAAGCAGGCAGTTTTGCTGGCCTGACATACCCTTTGAGCAAAGAACTTACACCACACACTGCTGCATCGTGTGACGTAGCCCTGGTACTAGTCGATAATAACGGATAAAGAAAGCAGTGAGTTTAGAGCTACACAGATGAGATATATGGTGACCACAGAAAGCAGGAGAAAATCTCAAGCATTGGTCATTTTACTCTGAATTGTTAGAACAAAAACAAGAACATGACAAAAGTCTCACAGTGCTGTAGTAAACAGTATCATGTAGAAAAAGACAACAAATAAGAAGCAAAAAATGTCTAAATGAAAAATATAGATCTCAAAATAAAAACAAAAAATTTTAAATACTCATACATGAACAGCAAAAGTTGACACCACCCTCATTGAAGAGTAATCATTTATAAAAATTTTTAAAATCTATTGCTCAACACGAGCTTTAAGGTGTGCTCTGCAGCCAATAACGCAGGAAAACTGAAAATCAAAACGACTTTAGAAATGAAGATATTTAAGTAATTACGAAAAAAAAAAAGACATTCAGAAACATTAACTACTGCTAATGCTCAATTAAGATGCCCTAAAAAGCAGTGGCTTACACATAAATTTTCCTCTCTTTCACTTTTCAAAGATGCAGAATGTCACAATCACAAAGCAGAGCAAGATACCAGATGTTGCTGAGAGAGGAAAGATATTGGACAGGACGTCTGACAGCATCCCCTGCCAGTTTGTTTCTTTAGAAAACAGAAAATGTTTAGACAAGAAAAATGAAAAACAAAATGCAGGCATCTAAAGATCACAGATTGTCAAAAACTGTGTTATGCATTGAGGAAACACAAATAAAATAAATGACATCCAGCGTATTACCAAAATAGTTATAAATAAAATTTACTGCAACAGCGGATCACTGCCTCAAAACATATGTTTATCCTGAAGAAGACAACAATAAAATTATGTTGTGATGAACAACACCTGTTTCCGTTTCTTTTCCGCGTCTATATTGCTTGCCCTTGAGGAAATGTCTGGCCGATGTCTCTCCACTTGCTGTTGCTGTTGTCGGCTTTTAGCCTCAGCCTTCCTGTCTGCTTCTTCCTCTTCCTTGCGCTGCGGTGCCCCTGCACCAGGCCGGCCCCAAGGGTTGTATTCTTCTGGAACTTCAGCTGACATAGACGAATCGGAAACAAGGTATACAGATCAAGAGCAAAGCATTCATTATACCCCCAAATTAAGTGTATACCAGATACCTTACATAAGCATATCAAAAGAAAGCTGGAAAAAAAAATTAATTCAAGCATGCTGTTATCAAACTTAAGCTCCAATTCTGACCCAAACATTTGATATTTCCAAACTTTAATGAAGTTCAGGAGAAAAGGAATTGTTCTTACATTTTTTTTCAGATGCGAGACAAATGTGTAATAAAACAAAATTCTTTCTGGGGGAGGGGGGAGGGGGGGAATAGATAAAACACAACATGGGGATAGAAAAAAGAGTGAAACTAACCAGAAGCAACCTCCATCACCCTCAACATCCTGAACAGTTTGCTTGTTTGAATAAAGAGAAGCACATTGACACAACAATTGTCATCTAGTGCTGGGAAAAAGTAAAACAGACTGACAACAAAACAACAGAGGAAAAGTAAAGAAGTGGGACCTATCAGTGGCACCCGCCATCCACCCACAGAACTGTCCAGAACAATCAGCGTCCCAAACATGAATGAACAGGAAAAGATGACCCACCTTTTTCCCTCGCCCACTGCAGCCGTTTCCTCTCCCCAACCGTGAGGTGCTTCCATGGGACCACGTCGGGGACATGCTCCACACCCGCCTCCTTTTTGGCCATCTCCCAAGACAGACGAGACTCAGCCTGAGGCTCAGGGGCACTCAGACGATGAGAGGGACCTTCCTGAGACACTTTGGGCCTCCGCTCTCCACGCGACCTTCTCTCTTCTTCTTCTCTTCTGTTGCCTCTGTCTCTGCTCTCTTTTACCCTGAAAGCAAATGAAGAGCACAAGGGGAAAATGGCATAAGTCACAATTTTCCAGTTTTGCCGTTGTCTGTTCTGATCTATTGCTTGGCTAGCTCCATTTTGTCCATCCATACCTTATCTATCTGAAATGGCTGTAATCACGTACTTGAGACTTTCATCTAAAATAGTCATGTATGCTTATGGGACCAGAGATGCAAATCAAATTCGTGAGCTTAACAGAGAACTCAAACAAGATTTTCATACTTTATAGATATATATCCATAGTCAAGCAAAACAAATTGTACAATACAAAACATAATTAACACACCCATGGTGAATCATACATTATGTCTTACCTGACATCTTCTTTGTCTTCATGAAAGACTTTGCGTTTGGCTTTCGTTTTATTTTCTTTATTCTGACCCAGAAAAGCACCTATGCCAACATCTGATCGATCATCATCATCATCATCTACTTGACGGCTCCCTTTTGTGTGTTTGTCGTATTCAGCTTCGTCTCCACTGCCACTGCTTTCATATCTTTCCACCTCTATTTTGTTGTTACTCGTATCTGAAATAATAAGTAGCAGAAGCAAACAATGAGAGTAGGCAAGCATAAAAATATACAAATACATTCTTTCTTCTTTACTGAGTACAAACAGCCTGCATTAATTCTCAAGGGTGCCCTCCCCCCCATATTACTTTCAGTAAAAGTGGCATGCTTTTCATTAAACTTCAAACATCTAGTGACATAATAAGCATTAGATTCAATGGCTACAAATCACTACATAATGCAACATAGCTTTGGGACAAACGGCACAAACCAAGCAGCTACCAGGACTGACAGCAGGTTGCTTGAGTAAAAAAAAAAGTACATCGACACCATGACGGTCATTTAGTACTGGGAAAAGGGACATAGACTCCGACCCAAAGAAGAGGGGATACATTTGAACAGAGATGGAGACTATAGCCCAGGATAGAGGTACGAGAAGGCTCTTGTTGGTGGCCTATGTTCTGGCAGGCAGTGAGGAGGGCTGATGATAATGATGATGATGATGAGTGCTGGGAAAAAGCAAGACAGACAGAAGCAAGTGACGGAGTAGGACAACAACGGCAAAACCAACAATAACATCAACAACCACACTAAAAGAACACACACAAGAATGAAGGAAAAAGGGAGGAAAACACAAAACATCAGGATCAAGTTACAGGGTTGCCATACCGAAGCTAATTTTGAGTGGGTTGTCTCCCCCCGTGTCCTTAGTTTTCCCTAGAGAGGCCAGAAGAGCCGCCAGCTGTTCTTGAGTCAAGGTAACGGTGCCGGGGGTGATGTGCTGGGAACCAGGCCTCGCTTGTGGTGGCTCTTCCTTAGGTTTGAACCTAGGAGAAATGCAAGTATCATGTAACCAGTGAAGATGTGGCTCAAAATTTTATTATCCTACCAGTATCAATATCATTTTCAGAGAAGATTTCAAGTCCTGTTTCACATGAATCTTTTCACTTTCAAAAACCAAGCAATAACAAAACAAACCTTTCAAAGACAAATAAAAACAAAAGAGAAAGAAAGCAAAAAAAGATTAAAAAAGAAAGTTCTTCTATAGAATACAATTCAGATGCGTTTCTCAGAAAAAAAACCCCACCAAAAAATATATGCCTGCACACAAGAATTCCACTTTCACGGACAATTTTGCAGTTTCATTTTCATCAACTTGAGCTTCAACTCCACAGACTACATAGCTTGCCATAACAGATCAAAGATAAAACCATTTATCTGACAAGCTTACATCATACGATAGAAACATGAAATCAATATAAATCTAAGAAGAAATCAGAACACCAAATAAGCTGTACAGCATCATTGGCACAATAAGGAAATTCAGCTGCTAGGCTAAGATAGAAATAAAAGGGTAAATAGGAGAAGATTTGGAAAAAAAAAAGCACCCACCCAACATCCACTAACAACCTGGAGAAGACATACAGCCACATATGTAATCACCTGTCTTTGTTGTTGCGTATAAAGTCTTTGTTACTCTGATTGAACTTCTTCTTCTCCAGCTCCTTTTCAGCTTCAAAGGCTTCCAGCACAGCTTGATCATCTGGTCTTCTGATTGCGTGGCGCAGCTTTTTTGATTTGTAGCCAAACTGAAGTGTAAGAGCATGAAAATATTCTGATTAAACGAGTTGAATTAAAAAAATAAAGAAAACAAGTGAAAATAGTAGATTGTTTTGTAGGGAGGTGGGAAGTGATGACAAAAAGACAAAAGCAAAGAAAGCAAGTAAAAACATTACATTGTTCTGCAAGTGGGGGTGGGGGGTGGGGGGATGGGAAGGTGGTGACAACTTTTTACTTTCACCCCTTTACTATTTTAATTAACTTTGTACTTTTTTAGACACACACAAAGTTAAACCTACTCAAACGACTACCTGTCCAAGACAATCACCTGTACAAACCCCCACAAGCATTTTTTCTCTATATTATTATAATGGCACTGTCCAAGATTACCCTTTTCTCTTTAGACAATGGGTGGTCTTTTTGCGCAGATTCGACTGTAAAAAAATCCTATGAAAACAAGATTATACTTGATTATATCATGACTACAACAATATTTAAAGACGTAGCTTTTCTAAGAAATTGACAACACTACTTTTTTCAAAAGGAAAAGAATACTATTACCATCTCTTATAGTGAATGCAGAAATGAAGAGGGAAGACAATAAAGCCATGAGTATATTTATAGAGTGTGACTCTGGTTTTTGTTTCAGGTGATCAAATAAGACATTTCTGTTTGGCCTATATTACTTTAAAATACACAAATTTAAAATCAATCCATAAGATAGTCAAACAGCAAGACCATCTGAGAAATTAATTTGTACTTAAACTATGGAATGTGGGGTATGCTCAAATATAGTATACACAAGGGCTTACCTTCCGTTGCTCATTCTTAGGCTTATCTGAAAAAAAAGCAACAATAGTCTTGACCTTGACAGGACTCACAAGAGTGAAGTATTCGAAACTTAAAATAAGCGTTTTACTTTTCACCAGTGTTTAGGTCAGAAAAGCAACACAAACACTCCAATCCTCTTGGAATAAAACAAACAAAATAAATGTACAACAACAACATACCAATCAGAAGTGTACAAAACACAAAAGCAACCAAAATGTGAATCAGAAAGATTAAAAATAGTAACCAACTTTTCAACCATAAAAAAATTCGTAGTGCTGTTCTTCATTCACATTGTGTCTAAAAAAACACCAGTTCATCTCAATTTAAAAAAAAAAAAAAAAGAAAGGAACAGGTATCAAAGTGTAAAGAGAAATTCAATTAACATATTAAGTTGGTAAAGACGAAACCAAGATACCTTGGTCAGGCATTGAACTTTAGAAGTAGTTTCATTTCATAACCTGGACCAGGCTTGAACGAGTTAATATAAAAAAAGGATCAAAGCTAAACAACAAAACAACTGTTCATACAATTACAAGTCCCATTTGACTAATTTTAGTAATATTGACCACATGTATGGCATACCTCTGTGCCAAAATATGCCAGGGCCACCAGAATTCTTGTGAAGGTCAAAATGAACACCACCAGTTGAACTGAAAAATATTCATAAACCAAACATTAAAAGAAATCCTTACAACAAATTTCTATTTGATGCACTTACTATAATGTACCCGTTGTGTCTCCCGGCAAATAGGAAGAAATAAAACAGGGTGAAAAGGACACGACAGTGGTAGGAAACAGGCAATGTCATGGGGTCTTGGTCACAGGCTCTTATTTGGATGAAAGCTGTGAGAGAGGAGAACTCTAAACAAGTTAAAACAACGAGAACAGAAGTCCAAATAAAGTCTTTGAAATGAATGAAATTACTAATAAAGAGAAAATTTGAACATAGTCTATCCCACAAGAAAAGAACCTCAGATCCCCAGTAATAAATTCTTAAAATAATATGTGAGGCAGCGTGCTGAAATCAGGCGCTTGTCAAAATAATGAAACCCGAGAAATCAGTATTTTTCGGGCAGTTTGGAATTTTTTGGGGGACTTTTTAAACAAAAATTTAAAAAATTGATTTTTAAAATTTAAATCAAGATTTTAAAAATGTAAATCGTATTTTTAAAATTTTTTTTTAAATGTCGACACAGTTTGGGATTTTTGGTTGCTAAAAGTATGTTCTTTTATTACAAAATGCATTGTCTTTATTTTAACTAATGATTAATTTAAGCAACCGCAAAAGAAAGCCTTAATCTGCTATATATATAATCAGTGAATTGTGGCTACAGACAAAAAATGAAGAAAATGTCAGTCTAAAAGGAAGGGGGAGGGGGGGGGTAATTATGCATAGATAAACTTGCATTCTATTACAGTGTGTGTGTGTGTGCGCGCGCGCTTGTGTTTGTCTAAAAAGAAAAAGAAAATGTTAATTTCAATAATGAAAAAAAAGTCAATTGAATACTGTATTATTTTACAGTGACAGAGGAGAAAGCAGACTTTTAAGCATGATTATTTAGTCTACTAAACCTTATATACTGTTTTATAAAACCAAGGAAAGGAATTCTGAATATTTAAAGATGTAAAAACAGAATACATTTTTTTAAAGTGATTTAAATCACTGAGTTTTATTTTTAAAATCAAGTTGATTTAAATTTTAAAAAATCAGCTGATTTAAATCAACCCAACCCTGATTTCACTTATGAAAAAAAATGTAAATTGAATACTGTATTATTTTACAGTGACAGGGGGGAAAGCAGACTTTTAAGCATGATCATATTAGTCTACTAAACCTTATATCTGTTTAATAAAACCAAGGAAAGGAATTCTGAATGTTCAAATATGTAAAAACTGAATACATTTAAAAAAAATTGATTTAAATCACTGATTTTTATTTTAAAAACCAAGTCCTAGTCGATTAAAATATTTAAAAAATCAACTGATTTAAATCAACCCAGCTCTGATTTCAATTATGGAAAAAAAAGTAAATTGAATACTGTATTATTTTACAGTGAAAGGAAGGAAAGCAGACTTTTAAACATGATAATATTAGTCTACTTAACCTTATATCTATTTTATGAAATCAAGGAAAGGAATTCTGAATGTTGAAATATGTAAAAACTGAATAAAAATAAATTTTTTAAAAAGTGATTTAAATCACTGATTTTTATTTAAAAAATCAAGTTGATTTAAATAAAATAAATCAACTGATTTAAATCAACCCAACCCTGCATGCACGCGCGCCTACTCACGCACGCACGACGCGTGAACAATAACAATGAATAAACGGGACTATCTTCCCAGACTGGACTAAATAAGTACCATACTCTTTAAAGACAATCTTAATGCCTCACTTTTCCAAACAGAGCAAACAGGACGAGTCCAGTGTGTGCTTTCCTAAGAGGGGGGAATAGAGGCTTTCATAACGCAAACACAATGTCATACCACTTCTTAGATATTTGCTTTTCTGTTTCTATTCTTCTCTCACGCAATTAAGCAAATAAAAATGACTACCTCTATCGTATTGTGACTAAAATGCAACAAAAATGCAAGTTATCAAGGCTCCCGTTTAGTTTTTCAAGTATCCTTCCCCCCCTTTCCGGTTCACATAAGCGGGGCCTCGTTCGTAGCGCCCGAGGCGACCGATGGCTGATGACGTCACTCAGTGAAAATTTCCCAGCCGCAAATGGCAATGCCGCTTTTACCATAGTTACCTCCCACATTTTAAAAGATTACGCCAAAACCGCTAAACACAGAAGCATGAAATTTTAAGGGAATAAAGAAAAATGGTGTACAATGTATAGTCAGTTTGACAAATCACAGCTCTAAAAAATCTTCAAAGCGCACCACATCAACCACTTTCGCAAATGTTTTCGACTGCTTCTAGGATGGGTACAAAGTTGTTAAACTGCATACTACGAGATTGACCTCTTTTCTGATTGGCTGCCAAGTTTCATTCATATCAATTAACGAGAAGCGGCATGAGAGCGAGTTGAAGACAACCTTTGCGTTAGTTCGTCCCATGCCAAAAATCGGCAGAACAAAACTCGCTCGGTGGACATTGCTATTGTATGTCCATTCAAAAACACATGTGTTGATTTAATGGAAAAACGTTCAAATGCACAAAAAATGTAAATTTGCAGTTTCCAAAGACTCTCAAGCTATGGAAGTCAACAAACTTTGATGGCCATTTTCTAGCTAATTTTACCTCTGAAACCAGCCTAGTGGCGCGCTCATATGACCTTATGCAGTTGCGAGCGCCGTAAAAACCCATACCTACCGACCCTACTTCCCTCAATTGCAAATATCTCAACTTCTATTTCTATTCAATATAAAAATTTTTTAAAGATCTGGTTTTATATGACCCAGTCATATTGCGAGAATGACTCCCACTGACCAACATTTTGATGGTAGCCTCTAAGTGTACTAACTGTCGTAAGTAAGCTAACAAAACGGTTTAAAAAAACTTTACAGCAGTTTCAGGAAAAAGAGTTTTTTTGGTCAGCATAACCATTGAAAAATGGAGTGCCTCCGAAATTTGAATTCTAATCTGATCTCTATTAAAAAAACTGGTCACAGTTTCACAATGATTTTTTTCATACAAGTAGGAGGTAGGCTAACACTAACTCAGTAACTGATCAGGAAATCGATTTAGCAAGAATGAACATTTTTGGCACCAAAATGAAAAAAGGCGTTTTGTCAGCTTACAGCGGTAGGTTTTCAACTGTTTTGTTTGAAAGACTACATTTAGATAAACAAAATGGTGATTTATAATGAAATTTTTGCCTAAAGTAGCAATGATGTGGTTTAGGATGCTTATGTCTTTAAATTTAATTCCACCCATATAGACTGATTTAGTTCTAGATTTATTTAGCATGTAGTCTATGGTACTTGTGGAATACAGGACTTTATTTTTAATTATTTAAATTATAATGGTTTAGAAACATTCTTTGGGTCTTTTTTATTTGGGATTGTAATTTGTAGGCTAATTGTTTAGTTCCTCCTGAACTTTTGTTTTTGTGAAAACAAGTTGATGCTTTTTCAGGGTGGAAGGTGAATTAGTTTGAACAGTATTTATAATCACAGAATTTCTTCACCATAAGTCTAGACTAAAATCTAGATCTAATGTGGTTATTATCTTTCAGAAGGAGTTCCACAACGAGCCGCCTGGAGCCGCAGTCTATCCGGAGACGTCTCCGACGGAGATAGACCAATCAAGATGCTTTGGGCCTCTGGACAAGTAAAAAAATCTTGGGGGTTACGGGGGGGGCCGCATGTCCCCTTGTTTCAACCTAGATTTATAATTATTTGATATTTAGCAGTTACGTTTGAAATTTTCTTGAAAATAATTGATGTGCAACAGTTTTAGTGGCATATGTATGATTTGCAGCAAATAATATGCAGTTTGAGCCAAAGCAGTGCATCTGTGAGCAGTAGTACATCTTGGGTGCTCGCCGGAGACATCTCCGAATATCTTCTGCCTAACGACCGCCCCAACAAACAAATTATAGAAGAGACCTACCTCTAAACTGGCCTAACCCTGACCCAACCATTAGCTCATTTTTAACTTGATTAACCCTACATCAGCTCTTACCCCTAGATCTAGATCTACTCCAAATCAGAAACCTAGATCTGACCCTCTATTCTACTCTACTCAGCTACTCTGTTTCATAGTGAATAGATTCTAGAATCTAAATTTAGATCTAGTGGTCGCACGTTTCGGAACTCCTCCATGGCGCGGGCCTCTACTTCTTAACAAAATAAACTCTCCATCTAGACTCTAGATCTAGATCTACTCTATGGATCTAGACTCTACGCTAGATTCAAATGACAAGTTAATAGAATCTAGAGTGCATTGCCTCTTACCGGCCGCCGCCTCATTATCGGCCGCTCTCAGCGCGTGCGGTACTTTTTGTGACAAAATCTTACCTCTATGCAACAATTGTTCCAATTGGTCAACAATTGTTGCACTCGGGCAGTCTTTGTTTATCCTGCTACCTTTCCGCAGTCACAGGAGCGCCATTGCTTTGTTTTTTGGCCGAGATCGAAAGTTATCAGAACCCCCACCTCACTTCAGCCGCCACTGTTATCCTCCCTGAACAAGGCCAGGTGTGTCAACCAATAAGCTTTGAGCAATCCTATTATCGACAGGAAGCCCTCTTGTGATAACGAAAGTAATTTTGATATCATGCCTGACTTGTCTATTTGCGTCTGCTGGTTGAAAATAAAATTCCCACCGTTTGAGTGGGGTGGCCGGTAACTGGCAGCTATTTTAGCTGGTGTTGCCCCATTATCGGCCGGACGAGAAGAAAGTTACCAAAACTTGCTTTAGTTCTAAGATCTAATAAAATTTGTGTTGTGAACTTGTTTGTTTGTTTGATTAAGACAAGAGAAACACATCAACACAATAAAAATGGTCATTTAGTGCTAAGAAAAAGTAAGACAGACAGAAACAAAAGAAGGAAAGAAAAGAAGTAGGACCAACCAGTAGCGCCCTAACACCCCCCCCCCCCCCCCCCGCATTGTGAACTTGTATCAGACTAAATTTTTACTTTTAATCGATGAAAGAAAGAGAGAGAGAGAGAGGGCTAGAAAGAAGGCGGAAAAGGATGCTGAGAAAGAGAAAAAGAGGCTAGAAAGGGAAGCTGCAAAAAGAATGAATGTGATAGAGAAAGAGAGAAAGAAGATCCAAAGAGAAGGAAAGAGAAAGGCCACTTCGGAAAAAAAGCAAAAGGGAAAGTCCATAAAGAAGAGAATGAAGCTGAGAGTGAGAGTGAATCTGCTTCTGTTGGCGTCCAGTATATGGACAGCTCTGGGGATGAGTATGCAGAGGTTTTTGAGCGGATGTTGCATGAGTACGATGAGAATACATGTTTTGATTGTGGAGTTGTTACTTGTTTTCATATTCTCTGTTCCATGGTAGCTCTTCGGCCTCTCTCCTTATTCATAGTTACAAAATACACTTACTAGATGTTGATTTATAGTGTTGAAAAGGGAAAACACAAAAAAAACTCTAAATAAGGATGCTATAGCGTGAATTTTAATGGTGGCCGGTATCAGGGAAACTGGTGGCCGGTAAGAGGCAAATAGTAGAATAGGCGGCTGGAAAGAGGCAACTCTGAGTCTCACCAAATGTGATGTCTTATCGAGTAAACATACCAAATGAATGAATCTGGCAGTTGCCTAATACCAGCCAAAGAATGGAGATCATTCTGTGACATCTTTCTACGAGGTGGGTTTAAATTTGTGGTTGATATCAAGGTTTAACCACATGCTTCCGGTTATAAGCCGAAAGTGACCCTTTAGCTTTAGCAATGCCAATGAAAATTTAAATTTTCACTTTTGTCCCCTTTTTTTTGGTACTTAAGAAAAATTTTCAATTCTAAGAATTATGCTTCTTGAATTTTGAGAATCGGTTCATAAATAAAAAAGTTATGGGTTGTAAAGGTCGGCAAAATATGGATGACCCACACATATATATATATAGGAAAATACTCCTAAAAAGTGGACCACGCAGTAGCAGATTCTGTAAGAAAATCGACGATATCTCAGTAACTAATCTGAGTGTTCGAGAGAAACTTGGCTACCCTATGTGTTTTTGAGTGTAGAAATCATTTCTGCAGTCAGACTTACTACCAATTTCGTAGTTATTTTGTTATAATTAAAATTGTGGTGTACATATTACGATTTTGCGAAAAAGGGGTGTCGGGATGAGTCCATTTTATTTATAGCATCGTATCACAACATGGGATCTTTAAGAATATATGTCGGCAGCGTGACTAAATAATTGCAAAGCTTTTTATGATGACTTTAGACCATGCCAACCGTAAAAGATAAGTTAATTCAATCTAGCATGCCGTACAATTAAAAATTCTTTTTCCCCGTTGAGACGCGAACACCCCGAGACGAGATAACCTCGCCTCGGAATACCCCCATTGCGATGTTACAGGGGAATAGAGAGAAAAACAACCGGATGCGCGCGCCCGCCATTGCCCTATTTCAAGTGACCAATGAACGGGCCCGGAATAGTCATGCTGGGATTTGTAGGTCACAGACATTTGCCACGGGAGTGAGGGGAAAATGGCCGGTCTCCGTGCGAAGCCGCTTTGGATAGGGGGGTAGTCGTAGATTTACGATCGGGTCTAAACAACTACTTGACACAGAACGTTCAAATTTGAGCACACTATAGAGGATAGATAGATCTATTACCATCTTGGCGTTGAAATTCAAACTCCTTATAGTTTTCGGTGTACACGATACGAAAGTGTTCCCGACACCAAAAGTATAGGTTAATTTATGTGTACGAACTTCAACGTCCACATATCATTAGTTTGCCCTATTTTCTGATTGGTAGCCGAGTTTCATTCGGATTGGTTCGGAAATAGAGCAGACCGAGGTTGACAAAGTTAGTCACCTACGCTTCGGCCGGGTCCGCAAAATCGCCCGTAAACGGGGACCAAATTTTCGCCTCGCGGGAAAGCCTGATTGGCATTGCTTGACCCTTAGGCGGCTGGTAGGTATCTAATCTAGATCTACATTCTAGTTATAATTGACTGAACTCATTCCATTAGTAAAAGATTTTATTAAAAGGGAAGTGGCTATCCTCACCCAGGGTGAGAATAAAAAAATACCATCGACCTCTCACCCCGGGTGAGACTCGCTACCGTTGGCTATTCTCACCCGGTGTGAAACAACACCTGTTTTTCCTAATTTCGGAATACTTTCTATCTGTGTGGATGATCAAATGGATAAAAGCAAAGAAAAAATGAAGTTAAAACACAAAAGTAAATTAGCAATGCCAATCGGGCTTTCCCGCGAGGCGAAAATTTGGTCCCCGTTTACGGGCGATTTTGCGGACCCGGCCGAAGCGTAGGTGACTAACTTTGTCAACCTCGGTCTGCTCTATTTCCAAACCAATCCGAATGAAACTCGGCTACCAATCAGAAAATAGGGCAAACTAATGATATGTGGACGTTGAAGTTCGTACACATAAATTAACCTATATTTTTGGTGTCGGGAACACTTTCGTATCGTGTACACCGAAAACTATAAGGAGTTTGAATTTCAACGCCAAGATGGTAATAGATCTATCTATCCTCTATAGTGTGCTCAAATTTGAACGTTCTGTGTCAAGTAGTTGTTTAGACCCGATCGTAAATCTACGACTACCCCCCTATCCAAAGCGGCTTCGCACGGAGACCGGCCATTTTCCCCTCACTCCCGTGGCAAATGTCTGTGACCTACAAATCCCAGCATGACTATTCCGGGCCCGTTCATTGGTCACTTGAAATAGGGCAATGGCGGGCGCGCGCATCCGGTTGTTTTTCTCTCTATTCCCCTGTAACATCGCAATGGGGGTATTCCGAGGCGAGGTTATCTCGTCTCGGGGTGTTCGCGTCTCAACGGGGAAAAAGAATTTTTAATTGTACGGCATGCTAGATTGAATTAACTTATCTTTTACGGTTGGCATGGTCTAAAGTCATCATAAAAAGCTTTGCAATTATTTAGTCACGCTGCCGACATATATTCTTAAAGATCCCATGTTGTGATACGATGCTATAAATAAAATGGACTCATCCCGACACCCCTTTTTCGCAAAATCGTAATATGTACACCACAATTTTAATTATAACAAAATAACTACGAAATTGGTAGTAAATCTGACTGCAGAAATGATTTCTACACTCCAAAACACATCGGGTAGCCAAGTTTCTCTCGAACACTCAGATTAGTTACCGAGATATCGTCGATTTTCTTACAGAATCTGCTACTGCGTGGTCCACTTTTTAGGAGTATTTTCCTATATGTGGGTCATCCATATTTTGCCGACCTTTACAACCCCATAACTTTTTTATTTATGAACCGTTTCTCAAAATTCAAGAAGCATAATTATCAGAATTGAAAATTCTTTCTTAGGTACCAAAAAAAAGGGGGCAAAAGTGAAAATTTAAATTTTCATTGGCATTGCTAAGTAAATTAATTTGGTCGTCTACAAAGATGCTACGGCTATTTAACTTTTCGAATCGAGCCGAACTACGCAAGTCGCCATTTTGTTTTGCCCGGAAGTTCTCGCACTAGATCTACTCCTCTCTCTCTCCACTGCCCACAGTCAAAATTGACTGTACGCTTTTAGTTTAGTAAATTTAGGAATTTAGGCTAACACTCATCAGTAGAAGTAGAAATGGAACGTTTGTTCACAGCACAGAATTCTACAATTTTTCTGTTATCACAGAGTAGAATTCTGTGGTTCAGGGTGAACACAAAATTGGTTGGCCTAGATTTAGGCTATAACACGGTGAACGCACACCGGGTGAGAATAGCCAAAAACTCGCCTGCGTGAGATAGAGTGGTGGCCTTTATTAAATTAAGCGCAAAATACGGGAAAAAAAGGTTTTAAAAAACTTAATTCTCTGACTCTCACCCGTAGCTCATTGCATCTGCTGATTGTCACCAAAAATATAATGGAAGAAAAGTACTATACTAGATTCTAGATCTAGATTTCGATCTAGACTCTAGAGTCTATTCTAGAGACTAATTTGTAATTTGTAAGCTACACAGAACTGGACAAAGTACCAGTCTCAAGTCTCAACACGGTATTTGTTTGGCAAGTCAACCACGACTTCCTGCCAAACATTGGTTAAACTTCCGGTAGAAGATAGCGTTTTATGAGCACAAAACCTGATGACGTCATAAGCAAGTTTAAAATGGACTTGTTTTGTAGTTTAGAAAGTATTACAGACGAATCACAGTAAGCCTACTAGATCTAGCTACCGAAAGGAAGATTGCTCAAGCCATGTTTGGAATTAATTAACAAATGAGCTTTACACATGTACATCTGAGAGAAAATCTTTCAGGAATAAATAGAACAGGAGGTGAGATAGCGGGAAGTGAATTTCTTTCTTTCTTTCATCTTCTGCTGTTGCAACCCTCCGCTTTGGCAGTTTGGTGTTATACGTAGATTTTTCTAGATCTTAGTATTTCGATAATTTCAAAAACGTATATTAAAAAATCAAAACCCTATTACTTGACATCGGGGACAGAAATTTCACATCGAACCTGAAAATTCATAGGCCCTGGCAACAGTGCTTTTATTCGTGGGCATGTTAAAATTGTAGGCCTTGTTGGCTGAATTAGCTCTTTTTTTAAAAACTGTTCTTGGAAGCAGTGAAAATAAACCAAGGCCGAACGATTTCAGTTTATATGAGGGACTTAATATCAAGAGAGAGAAAGAAAGGGGGAGAGAGAG